ATCGTGCATTCATGGCTCAATCTCCAATAATTAAATACCTCTATAAGGCGCTTGACACCTAATCTCGAGCATTCATTGCTCGGGATTAATCTCCCTCAGGGTGCACCGAGGGCATCAAATAGACGTAATAGCAATTAATGTCTTGTAATAATGATTGTCTTTGCATCTCTCGAGGACTTGAATGTTCATTAATCACTTTTATAGCCATTCATAATCCTATTTAATAAGTTGTCATATCCTCTTTAGCGCTAGGCTTTGGAGGACGTACTTGGCCTCGCCAAGGCTATAACTCCTCAGTGCCTCCCACAGGCGCCCTTTGCGCTCTATAACGGCTACGATGATTCACATGTCAATTTAAGACTGTTAAGCTGCCTAAAGTCTCGTTATCAAATTTAATAGATTGGGTGTTATAAAAGTTTCGTATTATTGTGATTTCTAGAAAAAAAAAAAAACTAGCTGTTACAATTTTATATGTAAATGTATTTTCATGTGTCGAATCCGTATCGTACACAATTCCTACCTTTCTAGTTTTCTACTCTTCCCAAGTTCAATGGTCTATTCAAGCAATGATCCGCAACAAATGCTTTTGAAGAATGACACTATTTTGTCTCCAAGTTTGTAATTTTTCTAACATTCTCTTGAAAGTTCAAAAATGACTTCTTCATTTTGCTTCATAATCACATATGTGAAAAAGATCCACAATAACTTTAGGAACGAGTTATAAATTCAGATGTTCAGAATTTGAATCATGGTAATCTCTTAATATTAAGTCATGAGAGATTTATCCCTCATAATACCATAGTCTTGACATGAATTGTCTACCTTTGAGCAGATCAGCAAAGAGATTAGTTGAGATAAACGTAAACTGACTCGAACACTTTGACCGTTGAATTCAAAAAAAAAAAAAATCCGTAGTTTTATGGTTTCTTTTGACTACAACTGCTACGCCTTAATATTTTGACTCTATAAAATTCAACTTTTTAGTCAAAAAAATGAATAAAATAGAAAAAATACTAGACACCATCTTTTGGAAGATCATAAACTTCAAATAAGATGGCCAAGAAAGTTTTTTTCATATGATCAATTGATTATCTTATATGGTCTCTCTAAATGTGATTATCTTCACCCCTATTTTTTAAAGGTCATGCGTGTCCAAAGACACTTTAAAGATGTGGCTTTACAAAAATTATTGGATCAATACTAAATTCCAATATTTGATGGGGTCTGCAGTAAATCCAAATGTCACAATAAATTAAATCAACAAATTATATCAATAAATTAAGTCTCAATAGCATTGCTCATATTACAAATACAACTCCTCACATATATTATATATTACACCAAAGCAATATACAATTGTTATTCATTTTCTATTCATTTATTTCACATAATATCAGTGGTTAGACTCATGGATCCTTCAGGCCAAGAATAGTATGTTATGTGGTTATTCTGTGAGAGGCTCTTCTACTTTCAGTTGTCCTCTATGATAGTATACTTTGTGATTGCCCTGTAAGAGATCTTCCCCATCAGAACTCTTGAGGCTCCTCTTTTGATCAATCTCCAACGATTTTCTAGTAGTCCTCTGGTGATATTTCGATCACCTTTCAGCCATCCTCCAACAGCCTTCTAATCTGCTCCTGGCCATCCCCTAGCGACGTTTCAACCATCCTCCAACAACGTTTCAATCACCTCCCAAACGTCCTCCGACGACCTTTTACTCGCTCATTGACCATCCAGATCTCACTATGATACTATTTGATGTTTCCCAGCCAAATTTCATCATTCTTAAAGGCTCCAACTACAATGTTTGGGCTCAATTTATGAATAGTTTTCTCAAAGGTCATAAACTCTAGCATTATATCACTGATGATATCAAGGAACCTGTTCGTTTTGAGGTCGAACAGATTGAAAAATTCATAAATAGTCTTGAAGAATGGAAAAGCAAGAATCATCAAATTATCACTTGGTTTTGGAACATCTCAACGCCATCCATCAGTGATAAGCTTGGTTGTTTTAACACCGCTACAACCATTTGGGACTTTCTTTGTAAACGTTAAACGACAGCAAATCTTGCTCATCAATATCAGCTTCTTAGTACTTTTCACAGATGTGCCAACATCCTAGTTGGTCAATCAATAGTTTCATATGACAGATATACACAATTTGGGATCAATTGACACCATCTGAACCTAAATGGAAATGTACTGATGACGATGTGAAGTTTAATACTTATCATGATGAACAATGTTTGATTATGTTCCTCATGGTTCTCATCGATACTTTTGAGCTTATTCGAGCATCTCTTCTTCATTGTTTTCCCTTACCTACTTTGGAACAAGCTATCTCTAAGCTACTTTCTAAGAAAACCCATCTTGGCACTATCTAATCACAACGTCTAGACATTGTTCTTGATACTCATCATCCTCGAGGCAATCAATTATCCCAAACTCACTGCACATATTGTCATAAAAATGGTCGTGTTCTACTCAATTGTCCTAGCCAATTTTCAAGTTTTGTCACAAAATGAGCCTAGGCCACTATCAAAGTAACTGTCCCCAAAATCCATACCCTAATGCACCCATAAATGACAAACCTCACACCAACCAGTATAGATCTGACAGTCACAAGAACAAGTCTACTGTTGTTGTTACTGTCAATGACTCTTGTCCTACAGAGTCGTGTTCTCCCTCTTNCTAGTATAGATCTGACAGTCACAAGAACAAGTCTACTGTTGCTGTTACTGTCAATGACTCTTGTCCTACAGAGTCGTGTTCTCCCTCTTTCAATGTCAATGATCTTGAGGCTATCCTCAAACAGGTAAGGAACATTCTTAGTGGTTTTCATGATTATCACTGTTTCTCCATTATTCTATCTCAGCATGATCCTCACTCTTATCATGAGGCTAGCTCTGACCCTCATNTTATCACTGTTTCTCCACTATTCTATCTCAGCATGATCCTCACTCTTATCATGAGGCTAGCTCTGACCCTCATTTGCAGAAAGCAATGACAAAAAAGTTATAGGCACTAGCTGACATACATACTTGTGATTTTGTTAATCTTCCTCCTAACAAAATTACTATTGATTGTAAATGAGTTTATAAGATCAAGAATCACTCGGATGGCTCTATTGAGCATTACAAGTCATGTCTATTGGTTAAGGGCTTTACACAGGAATATGGTACTAATTATGAGGAGACTTTTGTTCCCGTTGCTTGTCTCACTTTAATTTGAAGCCTACTAGATATTGGTGTCACTCGTTGATGGCAATTATATCATATGGATGTCAAAAATGCATTTCTCAATGGTGAACTTATTGAGGAAGTCTACATGTAGCCTTCTCCTGTATATCCTCATTCAGGTTTGTCATCTCCGTTGTGCACTCCATGGCCTCAAGCAGTCCCCTAGAGCCTGGTTTGCAAAGTTTAGTGTTACTATTAAAGATTTTTGTTTCTTTTCTAGCTCTTATGACTCGACTCTCTTTATTCGTAAGTCTGAGAATTGTACTACTCTAATTCTTCTCAATGTGGATGATATGATTATCACTAGGGATGATGTTTCTGGTATTTCTAATCTCAAACATTTTCTCAACACACACTTTGAAATGAAGGATCTTGGTTCTCTCGGCTACTTCTTAAATGATGAGATCTCGTCTAACTCTAGTGGGTATTACCTCTCTCAAGCTAAGTATGCCTTCGATCTTCTTACTTGTGCTGAACTCATTGATTGCAAGACTATACCTACCCCATTAGCAACATGCTTGACTTACTCCCTTGGATGGCACAACTCTCTCTGATGCCACTCTTTATCACTAGTTGGTAGGCAGTTTTGTGTATCTTACTGTTAGTCGCCCAGATATAGCCTATGTTGTTCATCTCGTCAGTCAATTTTTGGCTACCCCTCGCTTTACTCATTATATTATTGTTCTTTGTATTCTATGATATATTAAGGGCACTATGTTTCATGGTTTTCATTACTCTACTCACTCATCTTTTGAGCTACATGCCTATTCTGATGTTAACTGAGTAGAAGATTCTATTGATTATCAATCTATCACTGGTTGTTGTTTCTTTATGGGCGATTCTCTCATCTCTTGGCATAGGCAGAGTACCATGCTCTTGCTGACACTACCCAAGAGCTTCTTTGGATTCGTTAGCTCTCAGAAGATTTAGGTTTCTCTCATTATGGTGTTACTATTCTTTATTGTGACAATTAAGGTGCAATACAGATTGGTCACAATAATGTTTTCCATGATCGCACCAAACATATTGAGATTGACTCTCATTTTGTGCGACAACATATAATTCGAGGCATAGTTCATCTTCTATCTATTTCTTCATCTAACCAAACTACTGACATCTTCACCAAGGCACATCCATCGGGGCAATTTTGAAACTCAACTTGATTTCTACTTTTTCTCCTTGAGTTTGAGGGGGATGTTAATGTATATAATGACAATATGTTTGTCTCACATTGGTTAGTATAGAAAATCTCACTACTCTATTGTACAATAAATTAACTTCCTCATGTATATTATAGATTACACCAATATACAATTGCTATTCATTATCCATTTCGCTGCGTTCACAAATGAAATGTCCTATTCAATGAACCAGATGGTCAAATTTCAATATCAAAACATTAAACAAACCTGCCCCTTCCCACCCCAAGACTTATAGTAAAAAATTGAGACTCTTCTTAAGTTTCGTCACCTGGGACGTTAATCAAATAGAAGAAAGAAAAATGGACATCAAAAAGACCACCTGGTCTTCTTTCCCAGCATTATTTTGATTTGTACCCAAGAGACGAATTGACTTGTAAACTTATTCAAAAGTTGCCTAAGAAACTTTTGGAAGAAAGTAGAGCAGTCAATTCAAACTCAAATACCATTTTTCAAATTCACATTAGTGGCTCATACTATATATAGTAAACATAAGCATATGTTAAACCCCCTCCAAACACAGCAAGCTTCAAATTTGGAAAACCAAAAAAGAAGAAACTATGGAGAAACTAATGAGGCAAATCATGTTCTGTGGTTTATTCAATGCTCTTCTTTTGCTTTTAGCTGCATGCCCAGCAACATGTCAAGAAGTTGGTAAGTCATTTCTCCTTTTTCTTTTTCTTTCATGGGTAGGAAACAGTTTTTTACTGAAATTAGATATACAACAGAGTTCAAGACATGCTTAAAAACTTCACGAGTTTGAGCAATATAGTGAAGATTTTCAATAGCATATACTTTGTTTTTTTCTTCATCTTCATTCTGTTGTTCTTGATATATTGTGCAGAGGATGAGAGCGAGTTCAGTTATGTACCAGGAAGCGATAATGGACCGGAGCGCTGGGGAGAGATTCATCCAGACTGGAGCATGTGTAACAATGGAACCATGCAGTCTCCTATTGATCTGCTGCATGAGAGAGTTGAGATAGTTTCTCACTTGGGAAGACTTAAGCGGGATTACAAACCCTCTAATGCAATTCTTATAAATAGAGGCCATGATATGATGGTAAGAGACAGAAGAAAAGCCTTTATCTTATGTTCTTGTCCAATCTTCTATAGTTCTATGTACCATCCATTTTAGTGGTTCAACTGCTAAAAAATTTTCAGATTATGATTTGAAATTTTTTTAATTTTCATTCACAGATTTAAAATCTCACCTTACATCATATACTTTTTTCAAAAAGGCAGCATTTTGTTCCAACAACCATAGGAGAAGACTACGGTGCCAAAAAAAAATTTGGTACTGCACCTCCAAGTTTTACAACTTTTGTGGCTTTTGATATAAGGTTTTGACATTGTTTACAATTTTTGGGTTGTGATACAATTTTTAAGGTTTGAGTATAATTTTTTTTTGGACAAGTTACCACAAACTTTGCGATCTGTTAAAAATATTAGAATAGATCATAAAGCTACCTCTAGAACAGTAACGAGAGATTTTAATATCAAATCAAATGATCGGAAAGCCTTTATTAGAAATATCTAAAAAAAATATATCATGTACCCCAAGATTTTGCATTACTTTCTGTTTGAATTTGCATTTAAATAGATTTATAATTTTTTTATTGTTGCAGTTGAGATGGGAAAGTGGTGGAGGACACATCTACATAAATGGAACTCAGTACACACTCAACCAGTGCCATTGGCACTCACCTTCTGAACACACCATCAATGGCCGGAGGTGCTTCTCTTTTCCTATTGTGTGTGTGTAGTGTGTTTGTGTGTGTGATGACAATGACAATACTAAAATCTACACCACAGATATGATCTAGAAGTTCACTTGGTTCATGAGAGCATGGACGGTAGGACTGCTGTGTTTGGAATCATGTATAAGATTGGACGGCCTGATTCCTTCTTGTCGATGGTAATGGCAGAAACTACTATCTCTCTCTCTCCCTGTCACACACACACACATTTATGTATATGTAGACCAGGTAGTTCTTTATGCATCCACCATTTCAGCACCAAAGGACACAAGGCTAGTGGGTTTAAATTTATTTTTAATGAATTTGAGTGACAAGTGGGTGNGGGCACCCGTGACAGAAAAATAACTCTAAGATAAATAGAGGAATAAAATAAGGGAGAACAATATACCTTCAGTCGAACAGTAGCGACAAATAGGGAAGGTCCAAAAAGCTCCCAAATAATCAAGTCACGGTGCCCAGAAATCCAAAATATATAAATAAGTGATCTACTGCATCAAGGGCAGATCAACAGAATGTACAAGACTAAGGCCTAAAATTGAACGGAAGAGATTGGGCAAAAACGAGGGCCAAGACGAAGCGACGGCTTGATCAAGGCGGACAGCGACGACGCCGTCACTTTAACCTCTCCTATTCAACTTTCAGGCAGTTGATGGCCAGGGTGGTTTCGGCGGTATGGCTGGTAGAGCCATACACTAACCCTACCCCAAACCCTAACCTTGCTCTGATACCAACTTGAAATAATTGTGAGTAAAATGAGATACTCAAATTAAGAGTAAAACCCCGTATATATAGGCAAAATATAAAAATCATAGTAAGGGTAAAAAAGGGAAAAAAAATCCTAAAGGGAAAAGAAATCCTAATAAACCTAGGAAAAGAAATCCTAATAAACCTAGACTATCTATACTCCAACATGTACAATAAATTAACTTTCTCATGTATATTATAGATTACACCAATATACAATTGCTATTCATTATCCATTTCGCTGCGTTCACAAATGAANACTTGAAATAATTGTGAGTAAAAGGAGATACCCAAATTAAGAGTAAAACCCCGTATATATAGGCAAAATATAAAAATCATAGTAAGGGTAAAAAAGGGAAAAAAAATCCTAAAGGGAAAAGAAATCCTAATAAACCTAGGAAAAGAAATCCTAATAAACCTAGACTATCTATACTCCAACATGTACAATAAATTAACTTCCTCATGTATATTATAGATTACACCAATATACAATTGCTATTCATTATCCATTTCGCTGCGTTCACAAATGAAATGTCCTATTCAATGAACCAGATGGTCAAATTTCAATATCAAAACATTAAACAAACCTGCCCCTTCCCACCCCAAGACTTATAGTAAAAAATTGAGACTCTTCTTAAGTTTCGTCACCTGGGACGTTAATCAAATAGAAGAAAGAAAAATGGACATCAAAAAGACCACCTGGTCTTCTTTCCCAGCATTATTTTGATTTGTACCCAAGAGACGAATTGACTTGTAAACTTATTCAAAAGTTGCCTAAGAAACTTTTGGAAGAAAGTAGAGCAGTCAATTCAAACTCAAATACCATTTTTCAAATTCACATTAGTGGCTCATACTATATATAGTAAACATAAGCATATGTTAAACCCCCTCCAAACACAGCAAGCTTCAAATTTGGAAAACCAAAAAAGAAGAAACTATGGAGAAACTAATGAGGCAAATCATGTTCTGTGGTTTATTCAATGCTCTTCTTTTGCTTTTAGCTGCATGCCCAGCAACATGTCAAGAAGTTGGTAAGTCATTTCTCCTTTTTCTTTTTCTTTCATGGGTAGGAAACAGTTTTTTACTGAAATTAGATATACAACAGAGTTCAAGACATGCTTAAAAACTTCACGAGTTTGAGCAATATAGTGAAGATTTTCAATAGCATATACTTTGTTTTTTTCTTCATCTTCATTCTGTTGTTCTTGATATATTGTGCAGAGGATGAGAGCGAGTTCAGTTATGTACCAGGAAGCGATAATGGACCGGAGCGCTGGGGAGAGATTCATCCAGACTGGAGCATGTGTAACAATGGAACCATGCAGTCTCCTATTGATCTGCTGCATGAGAGAGTTGAGATAGTTTCTCACTTGGGAAGACTTAAGCGGGATTACAAACCCTCTAATGCAATTCTTATAAATAGAGGCCATGATATGATGGTAAGAGACAGAAGAAAAGCCTTTATCTTATGTTCTTGTCCAATCTTCTATAGTTCTATGTACCATCCATTTTAGTGGTTCAACTGCTAAAAAATTTTCAGATTATGATTTGAAATTTTTTTAATTTTCATTCACAGATTTAAAATCTCACCTTACATCATATACTTTTTTCAAAAAGGCAGCATTTTGTTCCAACAACCATAGGAGAAGACTACGGTGCCAAAAAAAAATTTGGTACTGCACCTCCAAGTTTTACAACTTTTGTGGCTTTTGATATAAGGTTTTGACATTGTTTACAATTTTTGGGTTGTGATACAATTTTTAAGGTTTGAGTATAATTTTTTTTTGGACAAGTTACCACAAACTTTGCGATCTGTTAAAAATATTAGAATAGATCATAAAGCTACCTCTAGAACAGTAACGAGAGATTTTAATATCAAATCAAATGATCGGAAAGCCTTTATTAGAAATATCTAAAAAAAATATATCATGTACCCCAAGATTTTGCATTACTTTCTGTTTGAATTTGCATTTAAATAGATTTATAATTTTTTTATTGTTGCAGTTGAGATGGGAAAGTGGTGGAGGACACATCTACATAAATGAAACTCAGTACACACTCAACCAGTGCCATTGGCACTCACCTTCTGAACACACCATCAATGGCCGGAGGTGCTTCTCTTTTCCTATTGTGTGTGTGTAGTGTGTTTGTGTGTGTGATGACAATGACAATACTAAAATCTACACCACAGATATGATCTAGAAGTTCACTTGGTTCATGAGAGCATGGACGGTAGGACTGCTGTGTTTGGAATCATGTATAAGATTGGACGGCCTGATTCCTTCTTGTCGATGGTAATGGCAGAAACTACTATCTCTCTCTCTCCCTGTCACACACACACACATTTATGTATATGTAGACCAGGTAGTTCTTTATGCATCCACCANTCTCTCTCTCTCTCCCTGTCACACACACACACACATTTATGTATATGTAGACCAGGTAGTTCTTTATGCATCCACCATTTCAGCACCAAAGGACACAAGGCTAGTGGGTTTAAATTTATTTTTAATGAATTTGAGTGACAAGTGGGTGACCATGTCACCCCTCGAGTTTTGGGTCAACTCACCTATAACATAACATAATACAGATCTCCAAACATAACGTATATACAATACAAATTCAATTATGCATGATTATAAATATATCCGGTATAATTTTAGCAGATACTGAAAAAACACCACTTATGTGGTTTAGCAACACGACAAGACACCAGACAACTCAATGCATATTCGTATGTAATCTTGTTTAATGTGTGTTCAGATGGGGAAAGATTTAAAAGCCCTTGCTGATATCAGAGGAGTGGAGAGGGTGGTGGGTACAATTGACCCAAGGCAAANCGATGCATATTCGTATGTAATCTTGTTTAATGTGTGTTCAGATGGGGAAAGATTTAAAAGGCCTTGCTGATATCAGAGGAGTGGAGAGGGTGGTGGGTACAATTGACCCAAGGCAAATAAAGTTGGGGAGTAGAAAGTATTACAGGTACATTGGGTCCCTTACAGTTCCTCCTTGCACTGAAAACATTGCCTGGACCATGCTGAGAAAGGTAAGCTCTACTGAGCCTACATTATTGTCAAGTAATAAAATTATGATTTTACAAGATAAGTACTGTTTGTTAATGGCACCTTGTGGGATTTATCAGGTCAGAACTGCTAGCAGAGAACAAGTGAGACTAATTCGTCGAGCTGTTCACGACGTAAGTTGCTAATATTATTACATTTTCCTTATTTACGAATAGATTGTTCATATTCGCGACCTTAAGGTCTAACAGTGGGAGCCAACCACTAACCTCGATATTGATTGTATTTACAAGTTCAATTTTATGTAAAAAAGTGTTTGGGATTTTCTTGATATATAGCAATTGAATTTTGACAACCATAAGCCCCAATTTTGCAAAATTTCCTTCTTAGCAACGCAATTATTATAGTTTAAAGCATAGATGATATTAGGGCATGTTATGGATTAGCCAGTGACATTTTTTTTCCTGTATTTTAAATATTATACAAATGCCTTGTGCCCCGCCTCAAAACAAAAAACAAAAAAAATTCATTATTGTACAGCTATTTATAAGTTGCGTCGGTGTTTTTAAAAAAAATTGGGTGTTTTTACTACTTTTGTGGTACTTGCGATGGATCCTAATATTTTAAGCAGTTACCACAAAAGTTGTAAAACACACCCATAAAAGTTATAAATTTTTTTGTTGTAAAATGACTCACAAAGTTATAAAAATACCTATTGAAGATGTAAAATTGGAGATATAGTGCTGAATTTTGTTTTTTTTTTGGTACTGTAGTCTTGTCTTTTATTTATTATACATTATGAAATTGTTTACCCACCATCTAATTATGTTTGGATGATGATCATTATTTTATACAGGNAAAGTTATAAAAATACCTATTGAAGATGTAAAATTGGAGATATAGTGCTAAATTTTGTTTTTTTTTGGTACTGTAGTCTTGTCTTTTATTTATTATACATTATGAAATTGTTTACCCACCATCTAATTATGTTTGGATGATGATCATTATTTTATACAGGACTCAGAAACTAATGCAAGACCCATACAACCAATAAATCAGCGCACAGTAACGCTATACTGGCCAACAGATCGTCAAGGAAATTGAAATTCACTTCTTTTGTGTTATTAATTTTTACTACCACATTAATGATTCTCATACTATTACAGATTTCATTGTTACACAGTACTACATAGATTTTTCTGCTAGGAGTGACCTTGGGTTGGTCAGAGATGTCTGCTCACTTCCCATCTATGCTTTTGTTAACTCCTGGCCTATGACTGCCCTTATTTATTTGCTTTTGTTGTGGTTATTGTAATATTAACAGCCCTACAATAAAAACTTGTCGGCTTTTGTGCTGGCATTTCATGTTTCTTCGGTTGCATATCATGAATTTATATTTAAGGTTAAAAAAATATAGATTAGTTTAGTGATTAATCAAAGAGTGAGGCGTAAATTCGTACATCTTTTGTATTGAGTTCCATGAGCTGCATTAAATATGAGTTTAACTGATACATTTTGACATGTTGTTATGAGCGATTGTGTGTATTCGAGATTCACATTATAACTAAAAGTTCAAAAGACTCATGTTAGGGATGCTTCCCATCATCCAAAAGAGAAGGGGGGAGAGGGAGAAGATGCTTACTTTGAGTCTTTAATTGATGATCCGTCTGTTCNTATGTGTATTCAAGATTCACATTATAACTAAAAGTTCAAAAGACTCATGTTAGGGATGCTTCCCATCATCCAAAAGAGAAGGGGGGGAGAGGGAGAAGATGCTTACTTTGAGTCTTTAATTGATGATCCGTCTGTTCCTTTGTTTCCATTGAGGCTGGTTACTAAAGTGCCTTTAAAGGTATAAATTTCTACATGGATAATTGCTCACGGTAACATTGAAACTTATGATATGCTTCAAAAAAGAAGGCCTAACGTTTGTCTTTTACCGCAGTAGTGTATTATTATGTGCAAGAATGATAGTGAGAGCGTAGGTTATCTTTTTTTATATTGCCCAGTTGCAATCGCGCTATGGAACTAGTTGTTTATTAAGGTGGGCTATCATGTGGGTTGTTTATTAAGGTGGGCTATCATGTGGGTGCCACCGAGAACTATGTTATCTATGATAGCATTGGATGTTATGGGGGGAGGGNTACAAGAATGATAGTGAGAGCGTAGGTTATCTTTTTTTACATTGCCCAGTTGCAATCGCGCTATGGAACTAGTTGTTTATTAAGGTGGGCTATCATGTGAGTTGTTTATTAAGGTGGGCTATCATGCGGGTGCCACCGAGAACTATGTTATCTATGATAGCATTGGATGTTATGGGGGGAGGGTATGAAAAGGAGGTGGAGAACTTTGTGGGCTTGTCCTTTTTTTTGCTACTATTTGGATCATTTGGTTGAAAAGGAATACAATATTTTTTTAGAACAAGCCAGAGGAGATTGAAGGTCTTTGGGAGAGAATATACTTTCTGGTTTCTTTTTGGACCTCAACGACTAAGGAGTTTAATATTGTCCCTCTTTTTTCCATTACATCGAGTTGAACAACCTCTTGTGCGTAGCAGTTTTGTTTAGATGGTACTTTTTCTCAATGTTTTTCTGTTTATTTTTCTTGCTTTGTATGTGTCTTTGGTTGGGACAACTTGTCACCCTTGACTTGTCTTTTGTAACTCTCTTTTTTATTTTAGTAATAGTTTTGTTTCTTATCAAAAAAAGGATAATTCCTGGAGCTACCAAAACCAAACATGTCATATGGAGATGAAGCGTCAGGCCAATAACTAGACAAGGACAATTTATACATACGAGTAATGTTAGTGTGACCAAATTTAGAAATCAAATTTGTAGTCCAAATGACATGACAGTTGATTATTTGAAGTTTTTATTAGGGCTCAAATGACATGACACCAATCAAAGAACCTCAAGTCAACTGTCATGTCATTTGGGTTCTAAATTTGGTCCCTAAATTTGATCAGTCTAGCATTACTGTATACATTAAGATGGAAATATTGTAATGATTTTCATACATCAACCAATNGGACAACCTCTTGCGCGTAGCACTTTTGTTTAGATGGTACTTTTTCTCAATGTTTTTCTGTTTATTTTTCTTGCTTTGTATGTGTCTTTGGTTGGGACAACTTGTCCACCCTTGACTTGTCTTTTGTAACTCTCTTTTTTATTTTAGTAATAGTTTTGTTTCCTATCAAAAAAAGGATAATTCCTGGAGCTACCAAAACCAAATATATCATATGGAGATGAAGCGTCAGGCCAATAACTAGACAAGGACAATTTATACATACGAGTAATGCTAGTGTGACCAAATTTAGAAATCAAATTTGTAGCTCAAATGACATGACAGTTGATTATTTGAAGTTTTTATTAGGGTTCAAATGACATGACACCAATCAAAGAACCTCAAGTCAACTGTCATGTCATTTGGGTTCTAAATTTGGTCCTTAAATTTGATCAGTCTAACATTACTGTATACATTAAGATGGAAATATTGTAATGATTTTCATACATCAACCAATCCCACAAACATTCATGTAACTGGAAATCTTTTAAGTCGAGATTTCGACAAATGGTATTCCAGTATGAACTTTGAAATGCATGAAGAAAAAAAATTAATTAGTGAAAAAACTATATAGATAGAAAAGATGTTTAACACAAGGAACAAGAATCTATAAACTAATATAAAAGGAAGGTGAAAGCAACCATACATATGAGTTTCAAAATTTTCCAAGTCATACCATTCTGGCAAGAACTTTAATGATATCATCCATGGATGGCCTATGCATAGGGTCATCTTCCACACAAGCCTTAGCTAAAACGGCCAGGCATAACGCCTCAGCTAGAGGATAATCGTCCTTCAAACGCGGATCCAGGAAAATTTTCAACTGCTCAAAACAACCCCCCTCAGTGGCTGAGCCTCCCAAGAATCCAATGGATTCTTTGAACAATTTCCCATCTAAGTCCTCTTTTCCTGAGATGAGCTCAAGCATAACAACTCCAAATGCAAATATATCAGCCTTTTCGGAAGCCAATCCATTAAGAAGATGCTCTGGTGCAACCCATCCCCCAATGTTCGACATGGTTTCAATTTCTTTTGATGATCCAACAGCAGAAATTGATTCAAACACTGCTAGCTTTGCCCTCCAATTTGACATCAAGAAAATATTCCTGCTATTTATGCGCATGTGAATATAGGGAGGAACCATACAGTAGTGTAGGTAATGAATCCCCATTGCCATATCAAAAGCTATTTGAGTCCTTTGACGCCAACGGAGAGGATTTGATGAACTGGATAGATAGTCCCTTAAGCAACCATTAGTGGGGAATTCAAACACAAGATAAGACCAAGAAAAGTCATTCTCACCATAAGAAACACCAAGTAATTTCACAATATTGACGTGATTGATTTTTGAGTGTACATCAATGATTTGGCGAGTGTCTTCAAATCTCATTTGTTTGATCATCACTTCAATGTTTTCAAGCAACCCCTTATAGACATAATCGATTATCTGAGCATCTTGACTGAAATCCTTTGTTGCTCTTCTGAGCTCCTCAGCGCTGTAATTGCACAAGGAGTACTTTATTCCAACAAGAAGATCTGGAGATAAACATGAATTAGTAGTTGAGCTTCTAGGCGTCGGACCAGAAAGTTGGGAGCTTCGAGGTGATGAACAAGGGGTCAGGGAGTTTCTGGCCATTGAAGACTGAAAGTGCTCTGCCTTCCATTTGTTTAGAGCCTTTACATATAATCCCAGTGCAAGTAATGTTACAAGTAGCAGACTGAACCCAATGACCGATCCTGCAATGTACAATTTCTCTAGTTGCTTAGGTTTTGTCCCTTGTTCTACTGATCTTGTGGGAAGAAAACCTGGAGTTGGAGGTTGAATGTCTGGAATGTTGAAATTAAGCACTGGTTCGCCTTTCAAAGGAACCAAAACAGTTGTGTTTGGATAAACTGTGGGGTTAGGATCTAAATGATTAGCTTCCCATAAATCATCAAGAGGAATACTGAATTTCTTGCTTATTTTATCTGTATCATCTCCCTCTACAAAAGGGTATGTCACAAGGTACTTCACCCCTGAACTACTAGAGAAATTATCATCAGGACAGGCACATCTCAAAGGCACATGAAGCATAGAACCAACATTGAGATTGTTTTGTAGAGGCAGGTTTTCATCAGCTAGCGTTACTGATTTCACTAAACCTTCGAAAACCCCACAAGCAATCTCTGTGAATGTCGTGCTGCCTAGAGGCACAATAAAACTAAAATTTGCCCGAAAAAACTTGTCTGAGCAGGAACAGTTGATGGGAACAAGAACTTCCCGACCTGGTTTGAGAATCTGTGAAGATGTGACATTGTTCAAGGTTAGTAACTCATCAGGGTCCATGCTGAACAAGCTAGAAATATCAGAGACAGTCTGGAACTGTTCGTTGGCTCGGTAGACCAAGAAAGTTTGGCATGATTTTTGCAAGGAATTGCAGGTGTATCTTGTACCTGGATAATTGGCATCCGAAGAACATAATGTTCCATCGTAGGATTGTTGAGCGCAGACTGAACCAATGCACACGCAGGTGAGAAACCATAGAAAAAACATGTCCAGGATTATCAAATGTTTGGGCATGCCTATCAAAAAAGACTATCATGGTGCAAAAATGCTATCAATGAATGAAATTCTTTATTGTCACTACAAGAAGAAGGCTAAATCAAGTGATGTCAGGGATGACTACCTTATTGTGGCAAAACTCAGGTCCAGCCAAAGTACAACTAACTAATTTTAAACTGATGATATTTTGTGAGCAACCATCCACAGCCGGCCAATACACTAGTGACCAACCGGGTATTGGAAATAAGACAAATGTGTCTGCAATGCTTCCTGCTTGTAGTTTTGCTAATAGAACCTTTGAACTAATTTTATTTTTCTCTTTCGACCATTGGTTATTCATGTTCTGCTTTAAATGGATGGTAGTTTTTGAACCGGAGATGATCCAAATTAATTTCTGAACTTGGATCCAAATTAACTTCACAGGTAACTAAATCCATCCATCTCTCAGCCTTACTTACCATTAATCCCATGAGCCTATGATGCGTGAATAGATGAATCCAGATAACACAGTAGTTTTAAACGTGGTGATTATCAATAGATAATAACCATGCAAAACAGCTCTTCAAAAGTTTGGTTGAATTCTACAATATTAAAGCATCTTGATATAAGAGAGAACAATTTCTCGTATTGTTCAAAATACCAAAGCTGCTGAAAAAGTTTTATAATCCAACATAAATAAGAGACCCTACCAATCTGAAATAACTAAAACATCTTAAATTACAAAATAAAATGGAAAAGTGCATAAAAAAAAAAGGCCTAAACAGTGCTTTCAGAGTCTTGAGTAATTTTAGTGCTGCTTTCGATGGCCCCAGTCGACCATGTAGTCCTCCATATGCATTTTGTATCATATAGTTTCAAAATTTTAATATAAAATAGATGCAATCAAATCGGTAACTGGGGAAATAGTTTAGTGATGGGTGCATGAAAAAATATGGAAAAGTGCCAGGACATCCCTTATTCCCTTATTACTTTCGAATTTACCAATTCTACTAGATTAATGATTAATATGGAAAAGTGGTGGAGGCCAATCAATCGTATTCTTGAATTTGGAATGAAAAGAGAAGTAATGCTTACTAGAACGGGACACNCCTATTACTTTCGAATTTACCAATTCTACTAGATTAATGATTAATATGGAAAAGTGGTGGAGGCCAATCGATCGTATTCTTGAATTTGGAATGAAAAGAGAAGTAATGCTTACTAGAACGGGACACAGAATAAGACCACGTAGATCTATATCTAAAACCATATCTAGATCCAACACAAGACCAACCTCCTTTAAAGTTAAAATTCTTTGAGATGCAAACCAACCGCAATTGAAAAGTTTCAACCGAAATCTCAGGCAGCTTGATCAGCGACTCTTTCCAAACTTGCTTGGTGAACAGACCTCAAAGGCAAAAAGCTTGATTTTGTTAGGGATATTCAGTCCAAATATTCTTATGTTCCAACTCACGGCCATAAAAGAACAAAACCCATATCAAATTATCATTACTTCTGGTACCATCCTGGCAACCACGTTACTATTTTGCTAATGAAAATCAATTTTTCTACATTGTAAAGCTTTGAACTTGAATCAATGTTGACGTAGGCTTATAGGTATGGTTGAAGTTACCCACATTGCCTTCCTTTTGGGATGGGAATACTTCGAATTACACCAAGCTTTGGAATTTTAATGGGATGGACGCCATTTGGTGGAAGATTTGACAAAAATATTGGATAACTGTCACATCATATCATTATTGAGACGTGGCGTAAACATATAATAAAAGCATAATAAATAAGCTGATGGATAACAATTATATATTTGATCAAAAAAAAAAAAAAACAACTGTCATATAATTTAATAACTACCCAAATGTGATTCACCTTCATCTTGTATATATGTAAATTTATTATTGGATATGATATCATAGGTCAATAATGATATGGTGTCACCTTTACACTCAATATTTTTTCAAATATTTGGTCAACAATTGAAGTTCTTCCGGCGGAGGAGTTTGAATAATACTCTCTTTTCTTGAAAAAAAATATTTGATATAACCGTTACACCACATCAGCAGTGTTATGTAATATAACAGTCCGCTAATAAGTAAAAAAGTTAACAAGTGACCCCACAAAAATTCATAATCATCCAGTCATGTAATGCATAACCACCTCCATAATAGAAAATGTGTCTATTTTATTGATTTTGTAGTTTTTTTATTAGATGATTATACTATGCATATAACACTCAAACTATGACTTATGTGTCAATTAAGTCTCTAAACTTTTTTATGTCAATTGATCCCCTTAACTCTATAATTATGTCAATTTAGCCCTTCTATTTATCTCCGTTAGATTTTCTAACGGAATGTGGTGAAGTGTGTCACGTGAGTGACACAAATGGTTGGAGTAAACTACATATGTAGTTTTTAAACTATAACTCTTGTGTTAATTAAGTCTTTAAATTTTTTTGTGTATCAATTTACTCCTAAACTCTCTAATTGTGTAAATGAAGTCATTTTGTGTTTTTGTGCCATAAAATAACGTGAGTGGCACACTCTTATATAGGTAGACAGAAAGATTCAATTGACATAATTAGAGAGTTCAGAAGTTTAATTGACACCACAAAAAGATTAAAGAGTTTAATTGACACAAAAGTAATAATTTAAGGATCATATTTATAATTTACTTTAGAACTAATAAGAGTATCTTCAACATTAACTCAAATTTAAATTTGAGTCAAAATGGCCCAAAAAACTTCTCCAACCTTAGACTCAAATGTATATCAAATCAGACAAAACTTATTCTGGCCCTAAATTGATATAGATTCAAATTTTATATCAAATTTCTAACAGTAATCTTTTAACATATCCAAAACTAAAAGACTTCTTCGACGACCAGTTATCTGCTTCTTCTTGTTTCTCTCTAATATGTTGTTTCCATCACATACCACAATTGAAAGCTTTCATAAATCATTTAAAGGTCTATAAGTAAGTTTTTTTTCCTTTTTATCTTCTATCTTCTTAATTTATTATATTTTTAAAAACATTAATCTCACTCATCTTTCATACTATATAAATCCTAAGTCTACCCATCAAATTTTTCTTTGATTTTTTCGAGTTAAACACTATTGGTAGTATAATTTAAGCCACTAATTCGTCCTAAAATTTTAAACCTTCGCTACCCACGAATGTAAAAAATTCATCATTTTATTTCTTCAAACTTTTATTTTTGTTAAAAACGTATATTTTTTGTGTTCTTCAGACCATGCCCATGTCAAAATAGTTATATTTTTTTTTCTTTTTCTTTTTTTGGATTTATAAAAAATAATAAGGGATTAGAATAAACTTAAAATTTTGGAGTGGTTTCTTTATTTCCAAGTAGGGTTGTATACAATTTTTTTTTTTGAATTACCCATTTGTGGAGAGATGAAAGTTTCATTTATTTTATCAAATATCATGTTTTGAATGACAACAACAAAAATGAGTTTTGGGATAATAAGAGAACTTTTTAAAATATTTAAGTAGATATTTGAGTTTGGTCATTGGAGTACTCTATACCAAATCAAGTTTTTTACTCAAATTTGAATCTAAATTTGAGTCATTGTTGAAAATGTTCTAAGTAATACACACATTGCGAATCAATTTGAGTAATAATTTTTTTTTTTTTGTATATTTAACTATTTTCTAATTATTCCCGATACTCCAAAATATTAGTGATTCTCATTTTGCTACGACTTGAGATTTTTTCATAGCCATAAGAATAAAGACATTAAAAAATAATAATTAACAATTTTGAATTCAATCCGATTCTCAACTGGATTGAATTTGGATTACTAAATTCGAGCTAATTTCAAATTAAAATTCGAATTAGGTTCGTTCAAACTCAAAAATCAAACTATTTTTCTAAACAATTACATCCAATCCAACACACCATAAGAAATCACAACAACCACATGGCCACTACCACAACCACCACACAACCACTACCACAACCACCACACCACAGCCATTACCACAACCACACCACACCATACAAAATTTGAGAGGCACATATCTGAGAGTCTAAAAGGCACAGATCTAAGAGGAAGTTGATGATAGTATTAACAACGCAAATCTTAGATCTGAGAAATCTTCAGCCAGTTTAAGAAAAGGCGTCTAAGAGAGTAAGACATCTTAGAGTGAGGGAGGCTAAGATAAGTGACAACAAGAAAGAGTTGCAAGCGCAAATTGGGATTTTGTGAATCCTAGGGGCCTGTTTGGTATGTGGGTTTGGGGGGAGATTTGGAACATGAGTTGGGGAACAAACCCTCTCAAACCCATGTTTGACAAATACACAGCTAGCTCAGGGTTTGAAACCCAGACCACTTTA